CAAATTACATAGGATCTACTTTATATAAAAAAAACTATATTAAAATGATTGGGATTGATCCAATTTGCATCAATTTCCACGAATCTAAAGCAAATCCAAACCCCATTAACTTTAGAGAATTGAAAAGGCAAATAAATAAAGATTTTTCAAGGAAATTACTCTCCATTGGACCAACAAAAAAGGGAATATGCATAAAAAGCAATATTTTTTAATTATTTTAAAGTGTTATAAGTATATTATAATAACAATCATAATACAATCAATAGAGCTTAAATAATTAAAATTAAAATTAATTATTATAACAATTGATTAAATTGATAATAGAAATATATAATACCATAATAAATCTCGATATTATGACACATGAAAAGATATCATAAAATACAATAATTTAAAATCAAACTTACATACAATATTTACATATAATAAAGCTTGAATTTGAGATCTCCAAAGTTTCAAATCATAATTTTATCATTAAATCAATACTTCACTAGCTCAAGTATAATTAAAAAACAAATTCACTTGTATATAAATTTAATTTGAATATTAAATCAAATGAAATCATACATGATAACATCCCGCCATTAGAAAATCAATGGAGATGTTGATGTAATTTTTTTATTTAATTTTCACTTTATTTTATCTCTTTTAATAATTTTATTCAGATTAATTGATGATAATGATATAAAAAATCTATTAGTTTAAATAAAACCAAAGAAAATAAAAGATTGTTCTTAAGGGAGGGAGGGAATTGAACGTAGGAACCTTTACCTAGAGGCTTGCACCTAACCACTAAACAAAACTTGAAACTTGTAATATTTATTAAAATTTATATTAGTTTTGTTATCATTATTATGATTTTATTTAGACTAATAAGATTTTTACACATATCACAATTAATTAGATTAAATAAATATGAATCAAGTGACCTCCATAATAAAAGAATTATTGTTATTCCTTGAGAATTGGTTCGAGCACCATAGATTAGGGGTGAGCGCTCAATGTTGAAGAGTCGAGAATTTTCTTTAAATATATTTTTTGTACTTACCCAAATTAATAAAAAAAGATTAAATAATATATTAAGAATGACACATATAGAAATTTTAAAAGTTATGTCAACTTCTCTATTAATTATTTAACATTTAACTATCAAAATAAAGAAACATTATATTAATGCCAATTTTATCAAAAGTATAATTTGATTATTAAAGTAAAAAATAATAATAAATAAGACTATTTAGGTAGTTTACGTAGAAAAAAATGTACGAATCAAGTGACTTCTGTATTGAAGAATTTGTTATTACTTGAGGATCTGAGTCGGAGCACTATGAATGTAAGGGGTGTAAACGTTCAATGTCAAAATGATGAAAATTATCTTAGAACAAATATCATCTTGTACTTACCCCATATTATATATATATATAAGGATAAATTACATATTTAACCTAGGAAAAAACAAGTTTGAAAAATTTAAACTTTAACACGTTTTGTACATGATATACGATTGTAGCTAGCTTTCTTTTTTCCACGATTTGATTGTTCATGGATCCCATCAACCACTAGCCACTTTATTAGTACTTTTAATTGTAGGCCATTTGCACTTTCTAAAAAATAATAATCTTATTATATAATCAACATTTCTTATGAAAAAAGTATACACTATAACATATTTAATTTTAAATTTCTTTAACAAGTATCTTAATTGTTATGTTACGTTGAACCATCTTATATCAGTGGTTAAAATAATCGTTCTTCCTAGAAGTTATAGGTTCGAGTACAAGCGATTGCAGTAGGGTGATTGATCGTTTATTGTCAAATGATTATGAGTATTTAGAACGAATACTACTTTATAATCATCTTAACTTAATAAAAAATAGTTATATTACGTATTTAAGTTAAATACTCTTTTGTTAACGGTTTCTTTAAATCAATAACTTTTTTTATTATTTTATCAAAAAAATGACTCTCAACCAGTATTATTTGAAAACATGACTTCTAAATGGCCACGTAGGAATACATCGTGTTCTGTAGAAAGTGAGTTCATTGCATTTCTCAAGTACAAGTTCTTCCACGTCAATGAATCTTGTGTTCTACAGAAAGTGATGTTAGACCTCGTATTTTGCATAAAGCGATATATTCTAACGTGAGTCATTTGAGGGTTATTTTTTCAAATAATTTTGAATATGGATTATTTTTTTATAATAAATTAATAAAAAAGAATTTTTCTAGTAAAATAATTCTTTGTCACACATCCAAAAATAATTGAATTTTGCATACTTTTTATGTGATCGAAAAATTGGTATGTTTTGGAATAGAAAAAAATTTCGTGAAATATAAAGAAATGGAAATACATTTAATTATGTATTATTGAAATTGTTTTGTGTTGGCCTTTAAATTGTAGCTTTAATGGAGTTTGTATTTATTTGACCCGTAGAATTTAATTTAATTAGAAATGTTATGAAAAATATAAACATATCATGTGAATTATATACCATTATTTGGACCAAATTTAATAACTTGAAAACGTAATTGAATGCTTCAATTCAATCCCATTTCTTACCTAACCACAAAATTAAAAAAATTTTGAAAAATAAAATAAATTGCCCTTATAATACAAGATAGATTAATTCAACTCGATTATCTTTTAGCAGTAGAACATCAAAATACAAAAACCATATCGCTAGTTCACTCAATTATCAGTCAGATTATACATATATTATTTTTAAAAAATTACAATTTAAACACTCAACTAAAATATTATTACAAACAAATTATTTTATTCTTAAAATTGAAATTGAAATATAATATGACCTAATATACTAATAATTTTAATCCTTAAAACTTGTACATTATATCAATTTAATTTTAATTTGAACTAGTTCAATAAATTTAACTTTCATATTTAAAAATATATTTATTTAATCTTTCTCGTGATTTATCTTTATAGATTCATGAAATATAAAAATATATATAAAAGAACTTGTGTTCAATAAGACATAAACAAAGACGTGATGACCTTGTACCAATTTGTAAGAAATGCAAAATTAATAAGGATGACTCACTACCAAAAATTGAGTGATGAGAATATAAATTTACCTACAAAAGTATGTGTATGTTTCGCATTTAATGAAAAAGTGACATAATTGTTACAACCAATAAATAGAATGACATAATTATAATTTTCAAAATACAATGACCCATTTATAAATGTACTCATAATATAGTGACTTGTAATACAATTCACACTTGAAACTTTTTGTTTAGTGTACGAATCATAGATGACGACCAAGGCATTTTAACCAAATATGAGAATCAATTGTATAAAATGTAAAATGGGCTTAAATGCTACTTTAGGCTCAAGTTAAATTATTTTAAATTGTACCTAACAAATAATTTTTTTAATGAGAGTGCAAAACCATTGGGGGAAAAGGATAAATTAATTTGTACCAGCATTTAAGCTGAATAAATAAATAAATAAATCATGTTCATGGCCTTGTTGGAAAGGAAAGAATGAACTTGTTGCGGTGTCCCACATTTTACACCTATTTATATATTAAAACAATTTAATTTATTAATTGATTTATTTAAATAAAATATTATAAGAATTTATTATATGTGATTTTCTTAATCTAATTCACTATATTCATAATGTTAAAATTTAAATATTCAAACCCTAATAATTCTCTCTTTCCCTTCATCTTCCTTTTTTTTCTTTACGATTTGTGTCAATTTTTATAAATCAAATCAATTTTTTCTTTTTTGATTTTATTTAGTCGACGACGACATCGATTTTGATATTGGTTATCGATCGTCGGTTGTCTTTTTTTTTTTTAGTTTTTAAATAAGAATCATTATATCTTATGACATGTTTATCTCTGTCTTTATGACACGTTTATTTGTGCTTTTGTGGCATATTTTTTCTCTTCCTTTCGGTAGTTTTCGATTGTTTGGTCGTTGTTTTCGTTTATCTTTTTTCCTAGGGTTGGATTTGACATCGCCACGACTGATCATGATGATACTTATTTGTTATCATGTTAATCTTCGTTGCTTTGAACCCCCAAATTGATTTGAATACTCGTTTTGTGTTCATGGATAGTTTCCTCACGTCGCTTGGCTCTGATTTACGATTTGTTGGTGGTCTTTCAGTAGCTTCATCCCCTTTTGTTGTTCGTTTGTCAAAGCAATCAGATTTGTTCGTATTTTTTATTTTGTTCGAGCACTGGTTAGGTTTTTTAACCTTTTCCTTTTTTGGTCCTTGTGTGATCTAGGTGACTAGTTTTTGTGTCAATGGTTATAGGAAAATGTCTTAATTATTTTATGTTTACGGTTATATTTGTAAATCTTCGTTGTAAATTTATATATTTTTAATTTTTAATAAAACTAATAATTTTCTATAAAAAAATATTCACATATAATATTTTACCTCATTAAACAGCTGATAATTTATAATATTAATGTTATTAAATATGATAATGAATTAGGTCTATTGAGTTAAATTTATTTAAAATCACTTACAATTTTAAATGTGAAATATTTAAGCATTTATGGTTAAATAGTTAAATTGACTAATTTAATATAACAAATTTAGTCATACTGTTCTTTTGATTTAATAATTGATGCCTAATTGGTAAAGTTGATGAACTTTATTAAATTGAAATTCTATTATCAAATCAAAAGAGCATAGGATTAAATTCCTATATGGATCACATTTCAAATGCGTGAAAAATACAGGGACTGGAAGAAAAGTTAGACCATTACAATTCAAAACACAGACGAGGATCCGCCACGTAGGATAAAAAGGTCCCACAAACAGCGAACGTTGGCTGTTCGAGTTTTTGAATCAAATCCACTGTTCAAAAATTATGAAAAACAAAAAAGGAAAGATTAAAGTTTTAAAAAGTAAATAAGAGTGGCGAAAATTTTAAAATGGAAATAAATACAAAATAATTATACAGTGAAAATTTATTTATAGGAGGAGGCAATGGTACGGGACACCGGGAATTACTGTTATTGTTTGTTTCAAAGATCCAAACTCTCTCTCTCTTAACCCTAAAACCCTGGCCACTCTCTAGATTTACTCCATTAATGATAATTTAATTAAAGATTAATTAATTAAAACAGACACCCCCTTCCTTAATTAATCTGCAAAACAGATTGGCTACTCTTTTTGGAATGGGTTTGTTTATAAATTTCTGTATTGAAGGTGAACCAGCTCCCAGATTCAAGGTACCCCCTTTTGCCTTTTTCTTTTTCTTTTAAAATTGTTGCTTCGTGGTTAAGTTTTGAGAGTCGATGCTTATGGGGTCTTTTTATTTTGGGTTGAATATCAATGATCTGTCTCGTTCTTTGGAAATTTCCAAGCTTTAGCTGCGTCATTGTCTCGTTTGTTCTTTTTCATTATGCATTTGAATATTTCAGGTGAAAAATGAAACTGGGTATGAATTTTTTTTTACTCAAGTACCAAAATTTGATGCTTTTTTCGTTGGAAATTGGCGTGTGGAGCTTTTCCTCTTGTTCTGTTAACAGTCTCTTAGGATCTGTTCTTTGAGGGATCAAATTTGTAGCTTTCAGCAATGTGGATTTGTGTTCATTGTTTTTTATTTTCCTTTAATTTATCTTTTGTTCCTACACTATGACAGCTCACAAGAATTTCAGGGTTATGCAAGGATGTTGAATGTAATTTAAATGTGACATGTTTTTTTTTTCCTGAATGTTTGTGCTTTTGGAATTTGGAATTTTAGTTTCAGTTTGTAAATGCTAGTTATGTACAAATGTTTAGTTTCCATTTGTGTTTGTGAAATCAGGAGTTAAAGCTATGGACCTTGAATGGTTAGCTGGATTAATGTCCACCAGTGAAGACTATTCTCTTTGTTTGGCACTTGTGTACTGTTTTTTTTCTTCCCATAAAGGTTGATTCTCGTAGATGACACGGGGTGGGATTCGAGCAAGGCTCAGGCCGAGTAATCTCTATACATTCACTTGTCTTAGGCCTAGATCTACTGAAGAGGGGGCGCATTCTTTTGAAGGGCCTGGGTACACGAGACTTGTGCACTGCAACCAACCTCTTTTGCACAAGAAAAAACCTTTTAAATATCGTTCGAATTACGTATCCACGACCAAGTATAATGTTTTAACTTTCTTACCAAAAGCTTTGTATGAACAATTCCACCGAGTTGCCAATTTGTATTTCCTTGGAGCAGCAATTGTTTCACTTTCACCCCTTTCGCCATTTTCTGCTGTGAGCATGATTGCTCCCTTGGTCTTTGTTGTAGGGCTTAGCATGGCAAAGGAAGCTTTAGAGGATTGGCGGAGGTTTATGCAAGATATAAAAGTTAATAATCGGAAGGTAAAATTTCATAAGGGGGAAGGTGTTTTCGGTAATAAGTCATGGAAGAAGCTTCGGGTTGGAGATGTGGTGAAAGTGAAGAAGGATCAGTTTTTTCCGGCAGATTTGCTGCTTCTGTCATCAAGTTACGAAGACGGAATTTGCTATGTTGAGACTATGAATTTAGATGGTGAGACAAACTTGAAGGTAAAGAGAGCTTTGGAGGTTACATTGCCTTTGAATGAGGATGTGGCTTTCAAGAACTTCACAGGAACAGTTAAATGTGAAGATCCAAACCCTAGCCTTTACACCTTTATCGGTAATTTTGAATATGATGATGAAGTTTATGCCCTGGACCCTAGCCAAATTCTTCTTAGAGACTCGAAGCTGCGTAATACAGCTTTTGTCTATGGGATCGTGATTTTCACTGGTCATGATAGCAAAGTCATGCAGAACGCTACAAAGACCCCTTCAAAAAGGAGCAAAATAGAAAGGAAAATGGATTATATAATATACGTTCTTTTCAGCATCCTCCTGGTGATCTCATTTATCAGCTCTATTGGTTTTGCAGTGAAAACAAAGTTTCAGATGCCACGCTGGTGGTATCTGCAACCTAAGAAGACGGATGATTATTATAATCCTTCAAAGCCTGTATTACCAGGGATCGCCCATCTTATAACTGCCCTCATGCTTTATGGGTATTTAATACCTATTTCGCTTTATGTTTCAATTGAGGTGGTGAAGGTTTTGCAAGCAACTTTTATTAATAAGGACAGACAAATGTATGATGAAGAAACCGGGAATCCTGCTCAAGCACGGACATCAAATTTAAATGAGGAGTTGGGCCAGGTAGATACGATCCTTTCAGATAAAACAGGCACTTTGACATGCAATCAAATGGATTTTCTCAAATGTTCCATTGCCGGTACTGCATATGGTGTGCGCCCTAGTGAAGTTGAGCTTGCTGCTGCACAGCAGATGGCGACTGACCTTGAGGATCAAGAGGTAGAAAGATCAACCGGTTTCAGGGAAATCAGCAAACAACAAGAAATTGAGCTTGAAAGTGTTGTTATTTCCAATGATGAAATGGCTCTTAAACCTCCCATAAAAGGGTTTAGCTTTGAGGACAGCCGCCTAATGGATGGGAACTGGTTGAACGAGCCTAATGCAGATGTGATCATGTTATTTTTTCGAATATTAGCAATTTGTCACACTGCTATACCTGAGCTGAATGAAGAAACCGGCAGTTATACGTATGAATCAGAGTCACCTGATGAAGGAGCCTTTCTTGTTGCAGCCAGAGAATTTGGTTTTGAGTTTTTTAAAAGAACTCAGTCAAGTGTGTTTGTCCGTGAAAGATATTCAGCTTCAGGGCAAGCAATTGACAGGTGGGGAAACCAACACACAATGTTTGTGCCCTTTGCTAATCTCTACTGAATTCCTATGTTTTAGCATCTTAATGGTCCTCTGGGGCATCTTGTAGGGAGTTCAAACTTCTAAATATGTTGGAATTTACTAGCAAAAGAAAGCGAATGACAGTAATTGTAAGGGATGAAGAGGGGCAGATCCTTCTTCTGTGTAAAGGTGCCGACAGGTTAGTCTCTCTTTTTGCCCTTTTGATCTGTTCAGTGTACTAATAGATGCTCAAGGTACCCTACACCAGTTTGTATCTTTAATGGGGTGATTTGTATTTTACTGATTTATTGTTACTCTGTTTGGTGCAGTATTATTTTTGACAGGCTATCAAAGAACGGAAGATTGTATGAGGAAGATACCACTAGGCATTTGAATGAGTATGGAGAAGGTGGATTGCGAACGTTGGCACTGGCTTATAAAAGGCTTGGGGAGTCTGAGTACTCTGCTTGGAATGATGAATTTCAGAAAGCAAGAACTTCAATTGGGGCAGATAGAGATGCAATGCTTGAAAATGTCGCAGAGATGATGGAGAGGGATTTGATTCTTGTTGGCGCTACTGCCGTGGAAGACAAATTGCAAAAGGGGGTATGTGTTATTCCGGCTTGCTTTCTCTAAGAAACTTCTTTTTTGGTTTACACTTTACATAAACCTGATTCAACTTCTCTTCATTTCAGGTACCCCATTGTATAGATAGACTTGCACAGGCTGGTCTGAAGATCTGGGTTTTGACAGGGGACAAGGTGGAAACTGCCATAAATATAGGGTCTGTCTCTTTCCATTCAATATTAGACTTTATTTTACATCTTCTAATCAGAACCTGAAATTGGATTTTTGATGGAAAGATGCTCTACGAAAGCAATTTAGTGAATGTTTCTTTTTGTGATGCAGATATGCTTGCAGTCTGCTTAGGCAAGGCATGAAGCAGATCTGTATTACAGCCAATAGTTCGGATGACAGAGAGGTATGCAATATTTCTTTTTTTGTGAAAGACAGGAATTTTTCTTCAGGAAATTGTTTTCATTGATGTCAGACACTTTTGCTTTTGTTATTGGTTAGGTAGTTAAGGAGAACATACTGTTGCAAATTACCAATGCTTCACAAATGATTAAACATGAAAAAGATCCACATGCTGCATTTGCATTGATCATTGATGGAAAGACTCTTGCATATGCCTTGGAAGATGATATGAAACAGCACTTCTTAGTCTTAGCTGTTCAGTGTGCATCTGTTGTATGCTGTCGTGTGTCTCCCAAGCAGAAGGCACTAGTAAGATATCTTTTTCCTTTCCTTCCCTTGCAGCCTGTTCTAAGCTTCTAAAGGATCAAATCAGTGATACTCCTGATGGAGGAGATCTCATCATATCTTCTATTTATTTTGTAATTTTTTTGGTGCCAGGTAACAAGATTAGTAAAAGAAGGAACTGGGAAAACCACCTTAGCTATTGGTGATGGTGCAAATGATGTTGGAATGATTAAAGAAGCTGACATTGGAGTTGGTATCAGCGGCGTGGAAGGTATGCAGGTTGGTAAACATATCTCACTCTTCTTGCTGTTGCAATATATATTTCTGTAATGCTAGTAGCAAATGAATCTTTTACATAGTTTTATATTTAAGGCTATTCATATTTACGAGTTTTGAAGAGCATAGATATGTATCTATATATATGGGAATTTGCTCGTTTGGTTCTTTTATGAACTCGTGACATATATATATATATATATATATATATATGAGCTTCATGATTCTTGTCAGCTGCTCTTCTGTTCAATTAGTAATAGATGTAAAGCTTAGCAGTTTATGCACATTCATCATCATCGCGAGAAAATTTTTGTTAGGATTCTTTGGACCATTTTCAGAAATGTTTGCATGTTAGTGATTTATGTAGCTTGTTCCCTTTTGTTCCCTTTTGCAGGCTGTAATGGCCAGTGACTTCTCCATTGCCCAATTCCGTTTCTTGGAAAGGCTTCTTGTTGTCCATGGACACTGGTGTTATAAGAGGATTGCACAGATGGTAATAAGGGATTACCTGCAATTTTCATTTCTTGCACTCTTTATGCTTGGTTGACCTCTGATTCAGTATGACTTTGATCTTCAGGTTTGCTATTTCTTCTACAAGAACATAGCATTTGGCCTCACCCTCTTCTACTTTGAGGCATTCGCAGGATTTTCTGGACAATCAGTTTACGATGACTGGTACATGTTATTGTTCAATGTTGTTCTTACATCATTGCCTGTAATCTCGCTAGGAGTTTTTGAACAAGATGTTTCTTCCGAGGTCTGCTTACAGGTAAGTCTGTGAAACAACTTTCTTATTAACAAAATTCGTCCATGCTACAAGTGACTCTAACATTCTGTATGCCTGTTTGTCTTGCAGTTTCCTGCATTATATCAGCAAGGACCTAAAAATTTGTTTTTCAACTGGTATAAGATACTCGGGTGGATGGGCAATGGTCTATATTCCTCTCTCATTATTTTCTTCCTTAATATTATCATCTTCTACGATCAAGCTTTTCGTGCCGGAGGACAGACCGCTGATATGGCTGCCTTGGGAACAACAATGTTCACTTGCATCATTTGGGCGCTCAATTGCCAGATTGCATTCTCGATGAGCCACTTCACATGGATCCAACACCTCTTCATATGGGGCAGCATCGCCATGTGGTATCTGTTTCTCTTTGTTTACGGCATGCTATCACCCACTATTTCTGGTAACGCCTACCAACTTCTAGTGGAAGCTCTCGCTCCGGCACCCATCTATTGGACGGCCACCCTCTTAGTAACCGTCGCTTGTAATCTCCCATACTTGGCCCATATATCTTACCAAAGGTGTTTCCACCCACTGGATCATCATATCATCCAAGAGATAAAGTATTACAAGAAAGACGTCGAGGATCAACGCATGTGGACTAGGGAGCGATCAAAGGCGAGGCAAAAGACCATGATTGGGTTCACAGCAAGGGTAGATGCAAAGATCAGGCAGTTAAAAGTGAAGTTGCAAAGAAAGCAACCGTCTTCCGAACTTCAGAGTCCGGCCCGTTAATCCCGTTCATCATAGCAATGTTCACTCAATCTAGTTTCTTTTTGAAGTTTAGGGTTCTTTCTTTTCCTGCCAGGTGCTGTATCACATCGAGGCCTCGTTTCAATTATCAGTTAATTATTCATTAGTTGATCACACAAATGTAAGAGCTGTGGCCTGTGAAAAAGCAGTTGGAAGATATGTTTCATCGTTGTGTAGGACTTGCCTTATATTTGGCTAGTTGAAGTAACCTCTTGTATAATGTAGAATTTTGAAAAAAAGTAGGATTTGAAGCAACTCCAAGCTTTGCCCTTGAATCCGAATGAGTATAAAGTATTATCACTAAATCAGTAGGTCCAATTAGTACTACAGTTGGATCTAACCTTCGTGGTCGGAATTACACCGGTTTGACCTCCGATCCGTTTATTTCATCCTCAAGTATATTGATTGTGAATTGTTAGGTGGTGGCAATTCGCTATGAATCTGCATTTATTTCTTTCTTGCAATGATATGGTTGCCATTAATAATATGTTGGAATATACATCAGCAGGTTGTGATGGGCTCAATTATCAGTCAAACTCAACTTCAATGGCAAGCGGGTGTAAACGAATTGAGTTTGAACGAATAAAATTGTATGGGTGTTCGTTTATTAAATGAATATAAAAATTGTGTTCATATTCGTTTATTTAGATTGATAAATGAACGATATATGAACGATTCACAATATTTCCTCAAATGGTTGTTTAGGTACACAGCAAGAAAAGGGATCATATTTGGGGTATTACCCCTAAATGTCTGGTTTTTGCTGGTAAAAGAATATTATCTCGGAGGAGATCTCAACATGACTTGGTTGCAAGTAAACTCAGAAGCTGTTGGTGACCCAATTTCCTGTATTATTAGTTGATGAGCAGGAGTACTATGCACCAGGGTTCGAACTACCGACAGATACTGTTCTTTTAATATTAGTCTGATCTTGAAAATGTTGCTCTTGATTCAATGTTTCAAATTAGCCCCATAATCCATGAACTAGGCTAATACAATCACAAAAATCAGTGACAATGTAAGAAACCAATAACAAGTTCTTTAAAAATGCATAAATTCTATCGTAACCATTTTTTCAAAAACAATTAAATTTAAAAATAATTATGACTTTATTTGAAAAATTGGCGGTTTATGAATTGATTTGAATTAAATGGAAAGGGAGTCGCCATCGACCTTTGGGTAGGTCGAATACCTAAAAATCTTCTTTTAAAACAATTTTAAGGAAAAATCGTTTTTAATACAAAAGTTTATCTATGTATACCAAAAATCTAATTTAATGGGTTCGGAAGTCGGTTACGTATGGGGAAGGATTACACCCCACAGCGCCCAAAATTGGTACTGTGTCGCTTACACTTTGTCGTAAATGGTGGAAAATATAAATCGAATATAAGATTAAAATATGATCAATTTATTAAAGATTAAATAATATGCTTCGAATTAATTGTTAGGAAACATTCCTTAATTCGAGAAGAAATAACGATATTTGCACATCATCCAATGGGAAGGCTATATCGTCTATTTCTCCTTTGTATAAAAAATATTTCCCCTCACCAATGTTATAGAAAAAAACGCAACTTGAATATAAACTAAAAATTGGCGTTTGCATAAAATAAATTGCTATTTAGAAACATGCATCACATTGTTAGACTTAAAATACAACATGAATTAATTAGCAAAATAAAATCAATTTACTTCAAGTCCACATTTTGTTCGAATGTCGTACCGGATCACACTACTTTGATCAAATAATGCTTTCCACGCCCATTCTACAAATCGTTGTTCTTGGAAAACATTCGAGTAATAACGCATAAAGAAGTAAAAATTAATAACTAAAAATAATTTACATATTTAAACATGTAAAGGAACTATAATAATAAAAATATAAATTGAAACATATACATAAATATACACATAATAAAACACAAAGGAATAAAAATTTCATACAAAGAAGGTTATAACAATTTCATAATTTATATACATACATACATACATACATGAAATTATATCGATCGATAAAACAAAGTTACAAACTTGAATTAAAATGCACATTTACAAACATGATAAATTAAAATACTAATAAAAAAATCCAATCATACATATTAAATAAGGAATAAATAGCAAAAACAGTAAATTTTAGAGGTATAAAAATAAACATATAACAAGTCATGGCTAATATACAAATATCATATAACATGAGTATTAAAACATAATAAAATTAAATTACAGACCCTATTATGTAATAATTATAGGACCAAAACATAATATAGTCAAAACATAGGGGATTAAACTAGGAATAAAATCAAAGTTATCTCCAAGTCAAAGTTAGTGACTAAAACAAAAGATTCGTAGATTTTAGGACCAGATTCAAGCACCAACGAAAATGGTATAATCTATGAGATCAGTGACTAAAATGAACTATTCTAAACATGTATTGCTGAAATATAAATGTTCTAAAACATAATGACCCGAACATAAATAAGACCAAAAACATTTAAAAGGAAACATGGACGATATTATAACATAAAATAAAATAGGAGCTCAAAGTAAAATAAAGCTAAAATTTCATTAATGACCAAAATAGAGGTTTACAAGCCATGGAGGACCTTTCTTGTAAATATCCCAAAAGTTGAAAATGCGCATCCAGCTCCTTTTAAACAGTGTCGTTCCGTGCTATGTATAAATGGCCAATTTTAAGGCCAACAAACCTGTGACACCTTCAACCTGTACCCGACCCGGATACGAATCTGAGGTATCATATTGACTTTTCAAAATGTTACTCTTATAAAATAGTTTAAAATTCCTTCATTTAAACAAAACAGTAATTACTTTACATAAACGCAATAAAAAAGATTTACAAAATCGATCGGAGCATACTTAATTCAAACTTTTGATTATATACCAACAAAATAACATAAAACAAAAGTACATACTGCTTAAATTAATTATGATATGATCTTCAACTGATCGATGTTGTCTTGTCCACTTGTCCTAACTTGAATCTCCTTATTTCCTTGAACCTACGTGTGAAACACTCACACGATAAGTCACAGACTTATTGAGGCATATATGTATAACGAAATAATAATAATACATGCATTCACACATTTTCATCATGTATAAGAATTATCACATATCCAATAAACATAATATACATTATCATGCATTTAATCAATAATAACATATCATGTTATGCAATATTGATTCATGTTATATCTTTTAATAGCTCATGGTACATTATTGAGAACTTAAGGTATATGAGTGCATTAAGGTTGTGCATAAATTTTGTCACCACAGCTCGTATAAAATGCACCGAAGTGCTGCATAGAAATGCACCGAAGTGCTGCATAGAAATGCACCAAAGTGCCACATATAATGTCCCGAAGGACCACGTAGAGTTGTCCCGAAGGACCACATAGAACCCTCGACTCTTGGCATGCCAATTGTACACTCAACTCTTGGCATGCCAATTGTACCCTCAACTCTCATATCACATAACATGGACTTAACCATTTATCACAATTCTCATGACTTATATCGCATAGGTATATAATCTCATAGTTTCTTATCACATAGTTCATGTAACACCCTCATATGGTCACTTAGACCATTATCTTATAACACATATCACATAGGTTCATATCATATATCATGTAATGCAAACAAGACATATTTACACAATACAAATCATAATCATGCTTATACTCATGCAATCATGAAAACAAAACATGAGAAACAGACTCATCGCAAGTCTAGTTTCCATATAATCATATGTCATAGTAATATGCACTCACCTTAGCCTCACTTGGTCCAATCAACTTCTATAACTCTTTAACTCTCTCTCGATCGATCTTAACTCTTTGACTGTTTCAGAACTTGTTTATGTTTAATATCTACATAAATGTAAATTCAATGCGAATATCAGAATTCTAAACATTATAAATCGATCATCAATAACCTAAGCTAAAAGGGATACTTAATTCACATTTTCACTTTGAGTAGTATCGGCACCCAAGGTACAGTACAAATACTTCCTTTACTGTGGTATCGATACCCTTTCCCGATTCTGGAATTCCATTTCTAAAATGGTATCGATACTAGCATAATGGTATCAGTACCATTGGTATCGACACTACCCTTTCGGTATTGATACTCCTTGAACAATTTATCAACTGGTCCCTCTCCCATTTTTACATTTCCCTAATCTCTATTCTTTTTAGAGAGAGGAAAATCCTATAAAAAGCCTATTATCCTCAACCCTCACGGCGGCCGAGAGCCACGAAGCCCCAAAATAGGTCGTCAACCACTATACCCCTCATATCGGTGGCCTAAATAAACCCTATATGCCACCACTCTAACCCCAAAAGAAGGCCTTACAACCCCTAAAGAATAAACAAATTTTCCTCTCTTTTTGGCCACGAATCGACCCTTCAACCGAAGGCCCATCAAATCAAAGCTCTGACGAGGGCTCTAGAGAGTAAACTCTTCCCCTCTCCCCTTTTCCCTCTGATATCCCTTTTTTATTTCCCCCCTTGGTGTTTTTTTTTTCGAATACCCCTTTCCCTTTTCTCTGTCTTCTCCTTTGTAGAGTGATGTCCTTCTGTTTTATGGCTACCTTAGGTAGATATGATGAGATGGGTCTCTGATTTAGTAGTTGAAATCTTAGATTTTTGGGATATAGGGTTGATTTTCTGACTTTGGTTGTTGTTGGCTCACTGTAGATAATGATTTGAGTGATTTTCTAATTCCTATGGATGACGACAGCGGCGGGATGCGACTGAGGAGGCTCCAGTGAAGCTCACACGCGTTTGGAAGTTTAAAAGTCGATGAGGGACGATCCACCTTCCTTCGGTAGCAACTAATGACTTATCCTTTGATTTAGGATTTTGAAACTCTAGTTTGAACGGGTCGGATCCGGGTCCTATAACTGGGTCTACGATGAGAAATTAGGTTCTGGATATGGTCTTGGTGGGATTGTAATGTAATTGGGCTCTATGTAACTTGGGCTTCAACCGGGCCTGCAAAATATATAATTAAAATAATAATAATAATAATAATAATATATTTTTTTAAGACATGGACAAAAACGGGTGTCTACAAATTCATAATGTGTTGAATTTTACTGAAGACCTCATAGTAGAAACTGAACCAAGAAAACCAATGTTCACATTTCATAGTTTATGAAAATATCATATTCAAGCTTCTTACATATGAGGCAAAGTTTCCCCTAAATCTCAAGTTTTTCATCCTTCATTCACCAACATAGTAAAGCACAAACCTCACAAAACACAAAAAAGGAAGAAAAAGAAAAGAAAAAGAAACCAAGAGATTGTGCATGGCCATGGATCACTGCCAGCCATAGACAACTTGGGTACAAGTGTCCTTGATCCACCTGAAACTCTTCCTCAAAGACCCTTTCATCCTGCCTTCAACCGCATAAACCTTATAGCTAGCAACCCTTTTCTTCCTCTGCATCTCAGGATCAGTAAAGCTCCAGCTTTTTGAAGAAGACCCAGATGAGCTTTTGTTCTTAATCTTAATCTCCTTCCCAAGCTGGTTTTGTTGAGCAGAACTTGCACTGTAAGACCTCAGGTCTAGCATGTTCCTTGGCCCTCCATTGTAGCTTTCCATTTGCATTTCTATACCATCCTTGCATGATTTGGATCTAAACTTCTCCATCAAAATAAATAGAAGAAAATTGTATGAAATTGTAACAAAGAGTGTTCTAGGATGAAAGGTATAGCAGTAGAGGAAATAAATGTGTAGCTGTTGATTATTGTGAAGGGATAACATGCGACATTTTCTTCTTAAAGAATCACAACACTATAAGACAGTTGAGGTTGCACATTATGGGGCAGCTAAAGCTAACTTTGAACGTGCATTGATGGGTATTTGCCACGTGGAATGGTTAATGTTTGACTAGGTGAATTAAATGGAAAAAAACCACCTGTCTAGACTTTTACAGCATTTGGACTGTTTAATGATTGCTGTCGTGGGGTCCAATCTACAGAACTGAGAATTCATTAATTGTTTGCAAGAATTAAAGTATGATTCCATGGTTGTATGGGTTAAAATAGTAATTTCCAAGCTTAGGTGAAGAACTAACAGAGAATAAGGGTCCGGTTGGTTTTAAAGAATATAGACCGTTTTCGTTTTCATTTTCATTTTCTTAAAAAATAGAAAATATTAAAAAAAACGTGTTTGGTGGTAAAATTATAAAATGATTTCTAGAAAATGAAAACAAAAATAAGTGAAAATTTAAAAACATATCAAAGATGTTTTCAATGTTTTCTTGGAAAACTGTTTTCAAAATTTTAAAAATATTTTCAAAATTCATAAAGTAAAAAAAAAAATTATGAATTTCATGTTTTAACTTAGGGTCTGTTTATTTTTGGAATTGGTTTTCCTTAATTCCCGTGTTTGGTTCCCGTAAAAGCATTTGGTCAATGTAAAATCAATTACAGTCAATAGTCAACGTAAAAGAAGCTCGTTTAGCCCGTAAAACAACTTACCATGGAAAAATCATGAATTCATTTTACAAACCAATTGCCTCCCATTTTTCTTTACCTTTGATCTCCTTCATTCTCTTATCAACTATCATCATCTTCTTCTCACCATCAACAAAATCAGCATATTTTTTCTAGCAAAATCAAGGGAGGAGCTCTAGGATTCCAATGTAATATTTCGAATCCCTAATGCTCTTCCTCCCCTTTTGCTTTTCTCTTTGATTTCCAAGGGTAAATCTCTTTAAAAGTATCAATCGCGCTGTCATTTTTCCTCTTGTAGTTTTTTGTAGTTACAATATTCTTAGTTGTGTTTTGGATCTAATAGTTGTTTCTTGGGGGTAACAGTAGGCGTGTAAGATGGAATGAGGAAAATCTGGGGGAAATTGAAGTGAATAAACCAGTAAGATAGAAAATAACAGAACCCAAGACGTCGTACCACCCCATTATTGACGATGATGATGGTATCTAACTTTCATAATGCGTTTCCTCTTGCATATACCTATATTTTTATGTGTGGATATGTCTGTGAATTTAGAAAATGGTGTTGTTGTAGTTTTGTTTTCACTTTATTTGTACTTTGGTTAGAGCATTATTCTTTAAATTTGATTACATTTTATCACCTTACTAATCTGGATCTTGGTTTGGATCTTTGTCTCCCAGAGGACGTAGTTTCAATGATTGTGTCAGATGCTGAGGAATTATGCTCTGCTTTGAAAGATGTGGCTTCCTCGAGTAGAAAAACAACAGGGCAATCTAGTGGCTGGTCATCTTCTGACGATGAGGCTGATCCTATGGATCATGAAGATGAAGGTTTGTTGACCATTGCTTTTAATTAAATTGTCTTTTCCCATAGCATATGGAAAAGTGTTTTTATTTTTCGTAAGTTGGTTAGCATTTCTAATGACTGGTTTATCTTTCATGAGATTACAATTTAGCAAAAATCCTTTTGGTGTGAACGTTACAAAGTTTGCTCTAGTAGACAACCTTTTGATGGTTAAAGCTTCCTTGTTGTCCAAGTGATTTTTTTTTCATCAAGCACTTTTCTTTTCGGAGGGAGGGAGATTGGTTGTTTAAATGGTCAGGAATCACCTGCATTTGTTTGTTTAAAAGATTGATGATGAACATTATCCTTGAAAGGCTTATAGATTTCTAAACTTCTAGTTTAAATTAGCTTGGAATGTTCCATCATTTTCTTGTGCCATTTTCTCTAGGTTCCAGTCATCTGTATGAACCTCTTGGTGGTTTTCTCTGATTGAAAATAAAACAGGAAAAAATCACATTTTAATTAATAAATTTACCCCATTCCAGAACATTGATGAAGATGGCCAAATAAAAGTGATGAAGGTTCAACACCGTTCATTGGCCTTCCTCATCCCAATCTATCTTACCTCTTTTAGTTCATCAATTGTTTAAAATTTATTTCCTGTGTTAAATCTCTGTTTGATGGTTTGTCTGTTCTACTTTCTTCTCTTCTGAAACAGATCGAAATGGTAGGAGTTTCAAGGAGCAAAGAAAAGCACACTATGATGAGTATTTGAAAATCAAGGAATTGAGATGTACTATTGTTGTTTTAAAAATGATGTAATTTTAATTTTATACTTTGATAATATATTTTAATACATTATCAACATTATATTAATTAAACCTATATTAATTATGAGTTAAAATTTAATTTAAAAAATGCTAATAGATAAAGTATAATGAATACTTCAAACTTAAAATTATGTATTTATAACACAATCAACATAATTAGTATATTTTCTACAAATTTAATTTCATGTACTTACACAAATAAAATATTTCATTTCAAAATTTTATAAAATACAATTTTATAAACAACTTAAAAAATTAAAATGTAAATAACAAGAAAAATATATACATTTTACAAAAATCAGATTTCGTAAATTGTTTTCAGGAAAATTAACCAAACAGTGTAAAATATTTTACAATGCAGCATCCAAACAATATAATTGGTTTTCTGGAATTGGTTTTCCAGAAATGTAATTGGTTTTTTGGAAAATCAATTACAGCAAAACAAACAGACCCTTATCAGAGGAAAAAAATTCTTGTTTATCTTTATAATTAATCAAAAGAATATAATGCTTTGCAAAACCTAAAGCTTCAATAACAAAATAGACTTTGGAAGCTTTAAACTTGTGTTCCTCTCGTCACTTACAACTCATACTTTGAGGATTTTTCTGCAACACCAATGTTTATTTCTATTTTGTTAACATTTATTATATAATTGGAGGATCTTTCCACAATTCTTATTTAAGGTAATGTTCTTCTCAAAAAGCTTTATATGTTGTAAGTGTTATAGTCATATTAAACTTTTAAACAATGATCAAATTCATGTATAACTGTTATTTCATATCGAAAGTAATTAATATCTTTCAGGGTCACCATCACTTGATTTTTAAAAAAGAGAGAGATTTTATTGCTGTTAATTGTTCTTTACATTCGAATGGAATTAATATTTTTATATACCTACTTTTTAATTTAATATACGAGTTAAAGTTCTAATAATATCTTTCAATTTAATTTACATTTAATTATTTTACTTTAGCATTTAATTATTTTACTTTAGTACTAATTCAAATCCTAATAAAAATATTTTTCTTTAATTACGTTTTAACCTCTTCTTTTAGTATTTAAATATCAAGCTCGTAAACTAAAAGGTAATTGCTGATCTGAAGGTTTTATATTTAAGTAACTTCATATGAATTTTATTATAATGTCACAAACTGTTGAAATGGCTCAAATTAGAAAAGAAATTGTTACATCATTATGAATTGATTATGGACATGATTAAAAATGTAAAACAAATATAATCATGAAATGATAATAATTATTTCTTTTGAATCACTTTTAACTATTATTTTTTATGACAAATATTATAATTATTTATTTCAAAACTTTCATTTATTTAATCATATTATATTATTATTATTTTATTTTTCTAATATTTATATCATACTTTAATTATTTAATAATTAATTAATTAATTAGTTTATTTTAAAATTTTGAGTACTAAACGCATTTTCACTATTTCCATTTTTGAAAACAAGTTTTTATTTTTATTAACCAAACATATTTTCTTTTTTTGGAAAACTGAAAATGAAAACTATTTTCTGAAAATAAAAATAGAAAATAAAAGCAAAATATTTTTTAGAACCCCTAAGGATTTCATAATTTTCATAAAGATATAATTAAAAGAAAAGACATACGAGTCAAAATAAACCCTACCTGTTGCATAAAAACTTGAAATAACATACAAAGCCCACCACAAAGAAGTGGGCAAAACTGGCCAATCTTTATGGAGCTATTGTGCAGAACCCATGCAACTAAATGGTCAGATAAGTTTAAGAACAGTAACTTAAGACGCTACATACCAATAAGAACAAGGGCAAGTTAAATAGGACTTGCCAAAACAACATAACCACCTTGCCTCAACAACAATCTTCAAAAAGGATAAGGTCTTCCTTCAAAGGAGATCCGCGACGTTCGACGGAAGTTCCTCGATGATCACGTTGTAAAATTTCTGGATGTCAAACAACATTCTCTCATCATCGGTAGTCACAAAGTTGATGGCCACACCTTTTCTTCCGAACCTCCCACTTCGACCAATACGATGGAGATAATTTTCTGGTTGAGTCGGCAGATCATAGTTTATTACTAGAGAGACTTGCTGCACATCGATACCACGAGCCAAGAGATCAGTGGTGATGAGGACACGAGATGAACCAGAGCGGAATTCACGCATGATGATGTCACGGGTATTCTGGTCCATGTCTCCATGGGTGGCAGATACGGTGTGGTCACGACTTCGCATCTTGTCGGTTAGCCAGTCGACCTTTCGCCTTGTGTTTACGAAAATGACACTCTGGGTAATGGCCAGGGTCTCATAGAGATCACAGAGAGTTTCAAGCTTCCACTCTTCCTTCTCAACATTCACATAGAACTGCTTGATACCCTCCAGGGTTAATTCGTCACGCTTAACCAAAATTCTCACAGGTTTATTCATGAATTTTCTAGTAATCTCAAGGGCTTCCGGTGGCATTGTGGCAGAAAATACTCCAACCTGAATCTTGGCAGGAAGCAACTGGAAGATATCATAGATCTGAAAGACATACAAACATTATTAGAGGAAAAAAAGCTCGAAACCTAATCTCTCAAAATTGGAATCATTCAAAAGGGAAGATAACATGATGAAATAACTAGCCTGGTCCTTGAAACCACGAGAAAGCATCTCATCAGCCTCATCCAAGACAAACATCTTAATGTAATCTGGACGAAGTGACTGCCTTCTCAACATGTCAAATACACGACCAGGTGTTCCCACAACAACATGAACACCACTTTGGAGAATGCGCTGATCCTCCCGAACACTTGTCCCGCCAACACAAGCATGGACCTTAACACCAAGGTAATCACCAAGTGCTCGCATCACTTTCTCAATCTGTTGGGCCAACTCTCTAGTGGGTGCCAAAACCAGAGCCTGGCATTGGACCACAGCATAGTCAAGTTGCTGTAGAATTCCAGAGCAGAAAGTCGCAGTCTTCCCAGTTCCAGATTGTGCCTGCTGAATAACATCAAGACCCTTGCAGAATGGAACAATTCCTCTTTGCTGGATAGCAGAAGGCTTCTCAAAACCTACGAAAGTAGTTTGGACAAGGGAATACAGATTCAACATAAATTAGCAACAAAACAATAAAACATATAATAATATTATCTTACTCCGAATAAATGGCATTGATACTAGAAGAATTTATAGAATCAGCGTACTACATACCATATGCATAGATACCCCTCAGAAGGTTTTCTTGGAGTCCCATTGCATCAAAACTATCATAAACTTCATCATAACTAGTGAAGAAATCATCTCCATCAGTCTGAAGCCTGTAAGTTTTGAACAAATAAGCATAAGCAAATGGTAAAGCAAAGAGCATTATACACATTTATAAAATAAAAACAAATAAGATAAACAAAGAGAAAAGCATGTGTGATCTGCAAACAAGAGAACTTACAATTCAGTCATTTTCTGGTCATATTGACGAGCATCAAATTGGGATCCTTCTGGTGCTAAACCTGCCATGACTGCAGAGGAAAGAAAGAATCAAGCTATTAAGCATAGTTTGAAAAATTAAAGTATTCAGTTTATAAATATAACAGGAAAGTGATTAACAAATTAAGATGTTGCCTACTATACAAGCACCAAAAGATATATTCTTAATGTTGAAAATGTTGAACAGAATTAAGGTTTATAACATTCCATATTAAAAAGGATGTAAAAGAAGAGCCAACCTTGCACTCCATGGCAAGTGGAGCACAAGCATTAACTTCAGATCTAAAATCTGGAGAAGATACAAAGAGACAGATGGCTATCTGATACTTTGATCACAGATTCTGTATCAGACGTCACATTGCCCACCTCCCCAATATTCCACCCAAGGTCAGGCACTTAAAAAGCAAACTCTGTTAACACATTCTTATCACTCTTCAGTTAATTAAGGCCAATGCCTTTTCCATATTGAGAATTATGAAAAAGAAGAGCCAAACTTGAACTCCAAGAGAAGCAGAGCACAAGCATTAACTTCTGATCTAATATCTGGAGAAGATACAATAAGGAAGATGGTTATCTGATATTTTGATTGCAATCCTCTGTCAGACACCACATTTCCCACTTCTCCAATCCACATTCTTATTTCTCTTCCGTAAATTAAGGTCAATGCCTTTTCCATATTGAGAATTATGTAAAAGAAGAGCCAAACTTGCACTCCATGAGAAGCAGAGCACAAGCATTAACTTCTGAATTAATATCTGGAGAAGATACGATGGGGGAGATGGTTATCTGATATTTTGATTGCAATCCTCTATCAGACACCACATTTCCCACTTCTCCAATCCACATTCTTATTTCTCTTCCATAAATTAAGGTCAATGTCTTTTCCATATTGAGAATTATGTAAAATAAGAGCCAAACTTGAACTCCATGAGAAGCAGAGCACAAGCATTAACTTCCGATTTAATATCTGGAGAAGATACAAAGAGGGTGATGGCTATCTGATATTTTGACCACAATTCTCTATCAGACGCCACATTTCCCACTTCTCCAATCCACTTTCTAATCACTCTTAAGTAAATTAAGGCCAATGCCTTTCCCATATTGAGAATTATGTAAAAGAAGAGCCAAACTTGAACTCCATGAGAAGTAGAGCACAAGCATTAATTTCTGATTTAATATCAGGAGAAGATACAAAGAGGGAGATGGCTATCTGACATTTTGATCACAATCCTCATTCAGACGCCACATTTCCCACTTCTCCAATCCATCCAGGGCCACGCACTAAAAATATTTTTTTAAGACTTTATTATCACCAAATCTTCAAAGATTTTCAACACACGAAACATACTGAAGACACTTTTGGGAAACACAAAACATCAATTGTTAGACGATTATTCATCCGTTCTGATATTAATACAGGTTTAATTTAATTAAACAAGCACTAACTTAGCATACCTGAAGGTTTTGTACAGAAAACTGTGTAGATAATCCTAATGTCAGGCAACATACTCTAATCAACTCAAAAAATGGCATTACATACAGATTTCAGCTCAAACCAGGAATAGCATACTTGTAATTATAGGCCTTAAATTGAACTATAATCAAACACATCCAATAGTAATGTGTTTCCTTTAACAAGTTGCAATAATTAGTAGTGAAGAGAATAACCACCACGCTTCTCACTCAACTGATTTTAAAATTTCAACCCGAGTTGCAAATTTCAATACATATAATTAAGATCTACTTGCATCCCTCTTCTCTAAAGAACATAATCTGGATTGCTACAAACTTCCCAAAACCCTACCATTTGAAACATACTAAAATACAAACAGAAAGAACCCCTTTTATCCCTTCGTTTCCTATTAAAAAAAAGCAACAGTTTTTGATAAACAAATACGGCAAGGTTAGTCTAATTGAGCTTCAAACTGATTAATCTCTCAAATCTTAAACTAAAAAAATAATTAAACAAATAGAAAAAAAAAACCCAATAATTATGGACATGAACTGATAAATATCAAACCCATAAAACCCAGAAAGCATAACCAGGAAACAGATCAAATCCAGATCCCATACAGTAAAACCAATCCAATAAACAGCAAACCCATCAAAACATAGATTCAACATGAAATCAATAAAACACAAACACTCAAACGAAAAGCCAGCAAAAATAAGAAGAGGGAGATGGAAAAGGAGCAACCTTGACACAGATGAAGAGAGTAAAAAGAGCAAAGGGGAAGACTTTTGGAAGCTGTTTTGATTGAGAATCAGATACTCCTCGGATCTGCGCCGTGGAGTTGAAGAAAGACAGAGAGAGGGCAAAATAACAAGGACACAACAAATCTAAAGTACTAGGAATTGGATTCGCTTTTAGGTTTTTATATTCAAGTGCGTTTGATTATTAGTCGGAATAAAAGATTATAAGAGAATAGGATTATTAAGAATGTTATATTTTGTGTTTGGTTGGTTCCCGTAAGATTATTAGTGGGAATAAAAGATTATCAGATAATAGGATTACTGAGAATGTTATATTTTGTGTTTGGTTGGTTTAGCAGGAATGTAAGATTATCGTATTTGGTTAAAGGAATAAAGATTATTGGAATATATATTTAACCAAATTGTCCTTATTATATATTTTTATAATATTACAAATTGTAAAATATTTATATATTTTCTTTAAAAAATTAAATTCATAATATTTATATTTTTTTACAAAATTAAAAATATAAAAAAGGTTTAATGAAAGGGTAAATTTTTTTAACCCCTGAACATCATATAAAATTTTAATTATAGATTTTTTTTTGTAAATCTAAAATAATTTAAGGATAAATTTGTAATTTAACCTTCATAGAATTTTTATTATTCAATGACATAATAATGATATTTTTGAAAAAAATAATAATTTAAGGATATTTTAGTCCAAAACACCGGTAATGTTACAATACCTAAGGGAGGGAGGTAATGACATTTCCGGTAATATACCCCAAAAAATCTATTATTGGTAATAAAACATTACCGGTAATGAGATTTCCGGCCAACCAAACATGGGAATGTGGGATTCTTATCCCATGGGAATCCCACAATCCTTGAACCAACCCCCTATGGGTGTAAAAAATTGACCCGACATGTAAAACTGACCCGACATGTAAAACTGACCCAACATGTAAAACTGATTGAAATTGACTTGAGTTAAAACTGTTTTTGATATGAGCTGTGACGATTCGAAACCGACTTGAGTCGGAACTGGTGTTGAACTGAACCCGAATTGGACTTGGAAATTGTGGATCTGAACATGACTTGCATCCGACTTGAGAACGACCTGAACCCGAATTGAACCGAAAATATTATATTTGAACCCGAACCCAAGATTGACCTGGTAAATAACTGGTATTACCCGACCTGTTTTCAACCTGACCTGTTTTTAAACTGACATGTTTTTAACCTAACCTGTAAATGATCCGACTTGTTAATGACTTGATCTGATATTTACCTAACTTATATATTACCATAGACGAAATTATAAGATTTTAATAAAATTATGAGTTTTTAGTTTATGATGTAATTAAAAAATTAATATGATTACTTTTTAAATATTATAATAAAATATTTATTATGATAATTAAATTAATAAATAGACCTATTATATAAAATTATTTAATAAAATAATAAAATTATCTAAATGTAAATTAGATAAAAACATGATTAATAATGAAAAGGAAAATTAATATAGTTTAATTTATATAAATTATATAGTTTAATTTATATAAAGAAAAAAATAATATTAATAATGAAAGTATTTATTATGTAATATATATTAACGTTTTACATTAATAATACAAATAATTTTGGCAATACATTAGTTTACATAGGCCCAATGCATAAGTCTACTCTTTTATTACAAATATATATGCATTAGTACTAGTCCATTTACATTAGAGTTTATGATTTATTGTTTATTGTTTATGGTTTAAAGTTTAGGGTTTAGGGTTTCTATAAACTATATACTTTATTATTTTATATAGTTTATGCATAGTATTTCTATAAACTATATAAGTAATTTACTTTATATAGTTTTTATATATATATATACTATACATGGTTTATGCATACATATTATATAAAATTATTTAATAAAATTATTAAAATGTAAATTATATAAAACATGATTAATTAGTTGTTAAATAATTAATATGTCACATTGCATATTATATGGTTCATAAATAGTAGTACATGTCATTAATTTCATTTGCATAATTAGTATTTTAGTTGCATGTTAGGTTAATTCACATTAATATACCATTTATTTTGTTGTTATGAATAAGTAATAATGAAACCAAAAAATAAGTTCATTTGCAATAGTGCTAGTCCATTTACATTAGTTTACATAGGCCCAATACATAAGCCCACTATTTTACTACAAATATATATGCATTAGTGCTAATCTATTTATATTAGGGTTTAGTGTTTAACATTTATTGTAACATCCCAAATCAGGGTCAGTGACTAAATTGTAAATTTTAAAAATTATGTGCTCGATTTCGAAACAAGTTAAAAGTTCAAGGACTTAATTGAGAATGTTATTTAAGAGGATTATCTGCTAAATATGAAAAGAGTGGAAGGGTATTATGGTCTTTTTCCTTTAAAAGATATTTTTCCCCTTTTATAAGAGTGAAAAACGTGGGAAGAGAGCTATCTGGAAGCTTTCTTCTTCTTGCTTTCTCTTCTTTACGTGGGGCTTAGCTACAATAGGTAAGTTGGGTTTTTATAATTATTTACTTTAAATATTAAGTGGATTTTGATTCTTTGGGTATTAAATAAGCTTAAGGAAAGCTTATATGGGATTTAAACAATAAGATAAAAGAATTAAGAAGGAATTTGTAATATGAGTTTTAAGATGAAATTTTGATATGGTATGGTTGTTGAAGTTTTATGGATGAATTTGACTTTTCATCAATCTAATTAAGAAGTATGAAGTGTTAGAATTGGAATTAGAACACATTGAAAATTTAGTGTGATTCTTGAATGCCATGTAAATGATGGAATTTTGGGTTTAAAGAAGTGATTATGGAATAGAAATGAGTTTAAATATGTGTATGGAAGTTAGGAATATTAAAGGAAGTAAGATATGAATGTTTAAGCTGAAATGAAGTGAATTTCGAGCTCAAAATGGGATTTCTGGGCTAGGGGAATCGATACCCATTCAAGGGAATCGATACCCCCTCAAACGAACATGGAATTTCAGAATGCCAGAGGGGAACCGATACCCCCATAGTAGGGAATCGATACCCCCTAAAGGAAAATGGAAATGTTGATTTCTTAAAGTCGTTTAAGCTATTAATATCAAGTTATAAGGTTAGATTTTGATAGATTGTCTTAAATTGTATATTTGTATAAATACCGAGCCTAAATCAGTTCCGGAATATTTGGCAAATAAGATCGATCAAGGGGAATTATGAGAGATCAGTATTAACTTAGTGAGGCCCAGGTGAGTGCATCTTATTTTATAGGATTATAAGGAAATTGGACTTGTGATAAGTCTATTTCCGATTGTTATTTTATTATGCATGAAGTGTTGATTATACGTAGGTGAATGACATGAAATGTATGTATGATTGATTATATGAGCTGATATGTTTGTATGTGTTATATAATTTATGTAAGTATAAAGAATATGTCATATGATAAGATCTACATGATATATAGAATTGAAAATATATGTCTATGAAGAGTTATAAGAGAATCTACATAATTCATATGATAAAGAGAGTATAGAATTATGAAATAAAATATGTAAAAATAAAAGAATATGATGAAAGTGAATCCACGAGAAACGATAGAAACTAGGTAATTATGTGGAAAGGTTATATGAATAATAGGATTATGAGTTGTACATAGCGGTATAATTAATTATGAGAATTTAATATAATAGCGTTATATGATTTAATGTGAATTGAAAGAAACTAAATAAGATTGAATTATAGAATGAAATGAGAATGATGTATCAATTAGGAAACTTGAATATGGAGTGATATGAGAAAATTATAGGAGTTATATGAAATTGAATTAAGTAAATTGATTAATTTGTATATAAAAGAAATAATAGAAGTAATATATATATATGTTTATCAATATAAAATAGGTTATGTAATATAAGTGCATACCAAGGAATAAAGAATAAGATAGATGATGCGATGTATATTATATTATGAATTAGTGATATATGAATGTGATATAAGTATGTAATAAAACTTATGTGGTGTATGATAAATATGAACATATGAGAAGACGAGATAAGATAAATGACTTGTAATAGGAACTATATGACCATAAATTATGTAAATTAGAAATGATTTATGTAAACATGTTTGATATGTATTACATGTATGTGAATATAAGAGAATAGAACATAAATCATATGAAAAGATATAAGTCCTATGATATTACCTATGTGAATATATGAGAATATGAGTGAGTTTATAGGTTATTGATAGGACATATAAGAATATATAAATGTATGATGATATGAAAAAGGGAACTAAGTTTAATGATGTTGAACCCTATGAGTAGAAGTTATGTGATTATAAGTAACATGATTATATGATCACAAGATATGATACATGATATGAGATATATGAAAGAGAAAATATATGTTATATGAAATATTATATGACTACGTGATTATATGAAAATGTTCTACGTGTAGGTAAACCATGTGTTTATATGTATATGGAATATGTGATTTATATGATAATGAGCTATGTGAAAGGATTACATGACTATGTGTATATGTTAATGTATGTTAACATAAATATTAATGCCCATGTTATGTGTCATGAGAGCTAGGGGTATAGTTGGCATGCCAAGAGTCGAGGGTCTATGTGGTCCTTCGGGACATATATGTATTCTTTGGAACATATGTGAAGTCTGGTGAGACACATACTTGATCCTTGGCATATGTATATGATTCTTAAGGAATGATATGTGGTCCTTATAGACATTATTATATGGCACTACGGTGCAATTCTATGCGGCACTCCGGTGCAATTATATGTGGCACTTCGGTGCAATTATATGAGTTGTGGTGACAGCATTAGTGCACAACCTCTATGTACTCGTATATCTTTAGTTCTCACATGTGTATCATGGGCTATTAAATAGATAATATTAATAAAAATGAAGATGATATTATAGGTTTCTGGGTGTACGTGTTTTATGATAGTATATATGGTATATGTTATATGATATACATGAGTACATGTTAAGGTATATGTGAATGAGTATAATTGATTGAAATGATGATATAATAATAAGTTTATAAGATATATGATATGAACATAAGAGATCATAGGAACATGAGATAAGAGATATGAATGATAATGACATATATGTATGTATATATATTTGTTACATGTAAAAGTATGAGTTGTATGAAATGATAGTAGTAATTGTTTATGTATGATTATTAGTTACCGTTAACCTTATATGTTTATTGCCTCACTAAGTCTTCGACTTAGCGTGTGATTGTTCCACACGTAGGTTACATAAGCAAGAAGAGAAGAGAAGAAGAGTAAGACAGGTCAGCACCTCCCTTACAAAATTTCAGATCAGAAAATAGAGGATTTAAATGTTTTTGGTTATTTTGAGTATAGTTGGCATGTACTAATTGGTTGAATTAAATATGCTCTGATTGATTTTGGTTATTGTGGTCAGTTTATGTAACTAAACCGCTTTTACTTTAATGAAATGTTTTAAAAATTCTTTGAATTTTGTCAAGAGTCAAAGTTTGAAAAGTCAATATGACACCTCATACTCGTATCCGGGTCGGATACGGGTTGTGGTGTTACATTTAATGGTATCAGAGCTAAGGTTAGCCGATTCTCGGCATAAATCGAAGTCCAAAATGTCATAAAATGTGTACATGCCAACATAAGGTGAAAAATTCTGATCTGATAGTGTAAGGAGTGTGTTGTCTTACTAATAGAATTAGATTGCTAAGTTATAATAGAAGTATGATTATAGTAATTTCAAAGTGAAGTAAGAGGCGATATTCTTGATTGTGATAGCAATTCACCTGCCCTGGCCAGGCAGGGGGAAGAGCGGACACTTCAGGAAGTGCCTCATAAGATCGAAGGCTGATTTTAGAAAGTTGAAATCATATTAGAATAGTGATAGAAAGTTTTCACAGGTCTGAATCGGAAAAGTGATGTGAAGTATTCTTATTATTTCATGGATATGATTGAATATGGTGAACAAGTGTAACCATAAGAAAGTTAAAAGATCTAAGGATGTGGCTAGAATTGTAGAAGAATTCAAGAATAAATGAATCAATGACCAGTTTATAAGATAAATGCAATCAGTGTGATGAATTTGAAACAAAGAGATAGTACTGTGTATAAGCAAAATGTGGATATTATAGTGGTTTGCATTCTAGATGAAAAGAGTTAGCGTCGGCTAACCAGATTATGTGACGAAAAGGGTATTGGAGTTAAAACATTTGAAGATATTGTTAGGATAAGTTAACCAAATATGAAATGGATATGGATATAGTTGGGTATCTCGATCATGTAAATGTGATGAAGTGAAGGAGATAAGGATTCGTATTGTTAAGGAAAATTATAAAGTAATAGAAAAGTTTAAGAATCAATATATCAACAATCAGTTTATAAGACAGAGAAAGTTAGAATGCTTGAGTTTGAACCCATGAAATTTGCATTGGGAATGAGAAGTAATGTGAGTTGAAGGAGTTAAACAAATTAATACTGAGTTAGTTTCGATCGGAAAGAGTAAAGGATTAATATGTTTGAAGGAAGTCAAGTATATGTGTATTATGATTTGAATAAGGACTTTACGCAGAATAAGGTATGTGCAAGGAGTGTTGATTATCAAAGTTATGAAGAGATGATAAAGATTAGTAATCAGAGATGAGCATAAGTGAGAGGAAAAGAGTACGTGAGCATGAAAGAAAATATATGATTTGTGTATAAGGAGATTTTGATTTTTGAATGAATAAAGGAATAATGGAATAAGGAAATGAAGGAAAAAGTTTAAAGAATCAGATGTGATAAAGGTTATGTTTCTTGGTCAGGTAGACGTAGTCAGAGAAATAAAGAATGATTTATATGTATTAAGGAAGGTTAAGAAGTAATTAAGTGATGATGAAATAAAAGTTGCTTACTGCAAGGTAATTAAAGATGGATAAGGAATTTGATTGATTAATGATTTTGAATGATAAGAACTGATGCTATTGGTTATATGATAAGTGACACGATAAGGATGCATAAAAACAAATAGTTGAAGAACTAAGGGAAAGAAAAATTAAGTAAATGAAACAACATGAGAACATTAGCAGACATGTTCTTATCAATGTATGCAGTGAAAATTCGAGGACAAATTTTCTTTAAAGGAGGGGAGATTTGTAACATCCCAAATCAGGGTCAGTGACTAAATTGCAAATTTTAAAAATTATGTGCTCGATTTCGAAACAAGTTAAAAGTTCAAGGACTTAATTGAGAA